ATCTGTGCTCAGTGTGTGACTGTGTGTGAAACGTTCCACTGCTGTGCAACAGGAATAACATGTTTCAGCACGTTTCATCTACATGTGTGTCTTCATGACAGTCAGAGCATGTGAATGCAGCTCTACTGTTCATCAACATAATGCTGTAACTCAGAGGTGATGATGGTGACCCAGCGATGTCCAGTAGTCTCCAGTGAGAGCAGCAGCTGCTGCACGTTGTAACGCCATCGCTTTAGTCGTCCTCTCCTTTCATACAACTCATGTGTTCTTCTGGTGACGGTGCGTCTTGAGGCTCATACGTGACGTCATTCGTTGCAATCCTAAAGCTGCGTTCACACCAAACGCGACGTCAACTCAGACCGACATCTTCCACAACACTAACCTGTAGTTTGTCTCCACTTCTCTGTAGCATCTGTTAGCTTGTCTTGCTTTAGTTTATCTCTACTTCTCCCACACGCTGCATCAACGTAGTCTGAAGACTTCCTCCACCGCTGCCAGTGAGCAACGCACTTTCAAAATAATAATTTAAAAAAGAATGCGTTAACGTGTGATAAAATAATTGTCGGCGTTCATTAATTAAAGCATTAACGTGATAATAACTTGCCCGGCGCTAGTTTTTACACAAAGGAAAGGAAGTTAAAGGAAACGCTTTATTTGAGGAGAGATTTATAATGAGATGTGTAGAATAAAATGTTTTTGATGAAACATCACAATTTTAAGTTTTGTTTCTTTTTCTGACGTAAGTGTTCTTCAAACATGTGTTCAAGGACCCAATTTAGGGCAAACACCGGAATATTTAGTGAATGTAAACGGTAGTCGGTGGAAATATTAGTGGAATATTCCTTTTCATTAGCTATGCTAACATCTTAGGAGGAATATTGTCCTTTTCTGGGGGTATGTAGGTCGAACAGCGAAGTATTCAGTGGATGTAAACGGCGTGTGAGGATCAGCTGATGTGGAGGCTGCTCTGAATGTTCCCATCAGATCCGGTGTGGAACAGATCTGATCTGCTGACTGCTCTAAAGACGCTCTTTGTTACCGCCGTTATGTAAGCTCGCCTGCAGCGGATTCTATTATCGGCAGCAGCTCGGAAGCTTTTCTTATAACTCATAAACCCGTCCAGCTGCAGCGCCCCCTGCAGCTGGAGAACCCACCCTGCAATGTACAGAAATAGTGATGCTGTCATAACAGCTGGCTTTGTTACTCGGAGCTCCCAAAAGAACCTCGTTTCATCAAGCAAATGTCTAAATAAAGACACTGTGGTGTGTTCAACTGGAAGGTTGAGAAATCAGTTGATCAGATAAATCCACGTTTTCACTGTCGTCTGAAGCAAGAATGTCAAACACTTGTTTGACATTCTCAGATTCATTTTTATTTATTTATTTATAAACAAAAACAATCTGCAAACTAATTTAAAATTCTAATATTTGTTGATTACGTAGTACTTGAGTAGTTTTAGGATTTAACCAGAGTCTAAAAAACAACAATAACAAAGACATATTTTAGTTAAAGAAAAAGACGCGAGATAAGAAGTTGGCAAAGAAAGTGGAAATTTAGCAGAATAAACTTATTTAAGAAGACTTAAATATTTAACTTTCCTTTTTTCATTTTCTTTTTTTTAACATATTCAAGTCCAGTGCTTAGCTTCGTCTCTCTACAGGGAGTTTAAAGCACATTTTTCTTGTTGATTACATGTTTTGATAATTAAAACATTTGAACTCCAACTGTCAAGGATCCAGTTTGTTGCACAGTGTTGGTGGAATAGTAAGAACTTGTTTTTAATTCTCTCTGTCTGTTTGTTCCTCCAGCTGCAGGAGACGGTGAAGAGGAAGCTGGAGAACACCGGTTCTCCGCTGGGCAGAGATCCGGTCAACGGGTTCGGTGACGGCTTCCCCCCCAACAAGAAGACCTGTCTGGACAACGGCGCCGTCAACGGCTCCCCGCTGGACTCCAAGCTGGGCATCAGCGACTCTCTGAACTCTAACGGGACCCACGGGTCGGCCAGAGAGTCGGCGGACGGCGGCGGCAGAAGGGAGTCGGGTTCTGACTTCCACCGTAAGGAGATGAAGCAGGAGCCCGACGACATCCTGCCCATCATGCCTCCGTCGGTTGGAGGAGGAGGAGGAGGAGGCAACAACAGCCTGTTCCCCGACCTCAACCTGAACGAGCAGGAGTGGACGGAGCTGATGGAGGAGCTGAACTGCTCCGTGGCCTACGAGGACATCCAGGACATTCTCAACGACGGCTTCGAGGAGGACCGCAAAGACTCTCTGGTGCTGACTCCGGGTGGTGCTGGAGGAGGAGGATCAGGAGGAGCTGGAGGTGGAGGAGGTATGCTTCCTCCAGATTTAGTCCACGTTAAGACAGAGTTCTCTCCCTCCTCCGTGGCTTTCGAGCAGGACTCTCGGACCGGGTCCCCCCACGTCAGGTCCTCCTCCGGGCCTCCTCCTCGCTCCCCCGTCGCCTCCTCCTCCGCCTCCTCCCCGGCTCCTCCTCCTCCTCCCAGGCAGCTTCAGCCTCCCCCCAACAACCACCTCCTCCCTCCGGGTGGCCCTCCGGTTCCCAAAGACCTTTCCCCTGCCCAGCAGCTCCAGCAGCTGGCCGCCCAGCAGCAGAGAGCCCAGCAGCACCTCCACGGCCACCAGATGCAGCACAAACAGCCACAGCCTGGTGGGGCCAAGTTCCACAACCAGGGGCCCCCCCATGCCCACCCGCCGCCTTCTTGGCCCCCGATGGCCAACACCTCCCAGAGTCCACTAGGGGCTGCGTTTGGTATGGACAAGCAAACGAGCCCCTCTTTGTACCCGCAGGACTTCAACCCAAACACCCAGAAGCAGCTGCTGATGCCCGGTCAGCCCAACAAAGGCCCCCCCAAGCCGGGGTACCCCAACATGATGGGTCACCCGACGTCGGCGGCGCCGGGGGCCCAGGCCACGGCCGCCATGCTGAACTACAACAACACCAAACCTCTGTCACACTTTGAGGCGGGACCCGGACCGCCGAGGCCCCCCAACACCCAGAGCCAGAACAAGGCGGCCCTGCTGACGCTACTCCGACAGCAGCAGCAGATCAAACAGAAGAACAGCATGAACTTCCGGCAGCACATAACACACACACAGGTAAGAGAAACACACACGCACACACAGGTAAGAGAAAC